AAACTGTAATACAAATAGTAAATTCAGTGACCAAATCGTATAAATTTCGTGATAAAATCAGTGATCAAATCATGTAAATTCCATATGAATTCCGTGCAAATTCAGTATCCAAACCATATTTTTAGTGATACGGAATTGTGCATTTTTCCGTATCCTATTATGATACGTTATTACTAAGGAAAAAAAATCGTATAAAAACTTTATAAAAAACGTATCCCGATTTTTTTATAGGGTATCTACGGAACATATCGGAATTATTTGAAACTTATTTTTTGTTTACCGATTGTGAAACAAGTTTCAAATTAAATTAAAAAAAAACAAAGGTTTTAAACAAAAATAGGACAATGGACTTTCCGCTAAATCATTTAGCCAAATTTTCTCATAAATTTGCATAATCCAATTCAAATCATTTGCAAATCCATATAAATAAATAATTTCATTTGAATATAAACAACTTTCATAATTCAATTATAAAACAAATTATTTAGTATAAATAACGTTTAAAATTAAAAAAATTTTATTGATTTAAAATTACATGCAGAGTAAAACAGTCCATTATTGGAATTTAGGACTACGAAATATAAATAAAATAAACAATACTAATGTAAATAATATATTTATTATATATAGATATTCTGTAGAGAAAGAATCGTTTCATTTTTACTTAATATAATCAATCACTTTTTGATTTGATAGAAAGTATTAGAATTAGCAGCTGTGCCGATCAATAAAAATTATCTAAAAAGAGGTTTAAAGAATTGAATGACTTTCATTTTAGGCTCATAGAGAATAAATACTTGTTAGGATTTAAGAAAGCTTCTCTTTAGCTTTTTTGACAATAATTCAACTGCTGTGATAATTTGTAATAAATATTATAAACTCGTACCACGTTATGATTAATATTTTTGTTTTTATTTTGACAAATTATGCAAATTTATTTATTAATTAACATATCCAAGCTATTTATTGTTTATTTTATTTCGGTCATTTATAGTGTTTCGGTAAAGTGGTTAACTAAAATGGTTGGTTAAACTAAAGGCATTTACCGATAAACATCGATCCCGGCTATGACCGGTGATAAATTTGAAAACTAGTCTGCTGTAAATATATAATTTTTTTTTAAACTAGATCTGTATAATTCGGCTGGGTAATGCTTCATATATTTTTGAACTCACAAAAAAGGTAGTTTTTATGGTGGTTTACTTTATATATATTTTGTGCATAAATGATTGTGGGGCTAAAACATGTTTTTAGTCATTTACAATGTAGAAATTAAATTTCATTATAAATAGCCATTTTCAATAACTGAACAAAGAACTCGCTTCTTATTTTACTAAATAGTTCATATAATAATTTTATTGTTACAAATAAAAATGGTATATATAAATAGAATTCATCCAAATGTTTCCATGTTGTATTATTAAAGTAAAAAGAAGAGAAGAATAGGTTTATTACAAGGTAAGTAATAATTCTGCCATTTTATTGAAATTATATTTGTTACCAAAATTTAAACATTTCTTTTTTTATAAACTGAAGTTCTTTGGTTAAATTTTTTGATTAGCTTTTATAGTTAGAACAGTTAACATGATAAATATTTTCTTAATTTCAGATAAATGGAAGAGGATTTATTCTACCAACATGAAAATAAATTTACGCCAAAGGAATTGAAAGATTGCCCAGAATGTAATAAACCTAGGATTTCTTTTGGATGGTGTAAAGAATGTGAAGCTAATTCTATGAAAGAAAATTTTCTTTATTGGACATCAGAAAATAAAGAGATTGATGAATTAATTCAATACACCCAACTAAACGCTACTCAAGCTTGTGATTACTTGGAATGGATCCCCTTTGAGAAATTCGAACTGGTTAAATATGTTGGTAAGGGTGGATTCAGTAGCGTTTATTCAGCTCTTTGGATGGAAGGACCTAGATGGATTTGGGATGATGGCGCGCAAGAATGGACTCGAGCTGGGCCAATGAATGTTGCTTTAAAACGTCTCGATAATTCACAAAACATTTCAAGTTCTTACATTAATCAGGTAACTATGTTTAATGAAATTAAAAGTTTTGAATTAACATATATATAATCATTAAAAGCTGAACTTTTGAGACAATTGCGTTATAACATTTTTGAAAACGGAATAATAATTACAATATAAAGTTATCTGATAAACAATGCCAGATTATTTTTACTCTATTACGGTCTTACAGACGCTCTGAAGTAACCGATTGTAATAAATAAACTGAATTTCTATCGGCATAAAAATATCATTAAATTTGCATATAAACAAATTTTTGAATAGGTTTTATATGATTTACAATAAAATAAATATAATAGAAGAAAAATGTAGTTCAGCTTAATAAAAATGGTGAATAGATATTAATAGTTGAATTAAGAAAAATATAAATCATGTCAATCATATTTATTTTTATTTTACAATAGATTAAATCATACCATAAATGTTTGCAGTCTGCTTCATTGGCTGGAACGTTTGGTATTACAAAAGATCCAACGTCCAATTATATGATTGTGATGAAATATTACGAGAACGGAAACCTTTATCAATATCTTGATCATTGCAACGGAATTCTTTCTTGGCGAGATATAATCGATATATTATGGGGAATCGCTGGAGGACTTGAAAGAATCCATTCCGAGGGAAAAATTCACGGAAATCTTCACGGAGGAAACTTACTTGTCGAAGACGAAAAAGTATCTACGGATGCTCGTATTGCTGACGTTGGTCTTCATGGACCATGTAATAATGACATAAATAATGGTTCAATTCAAAGATACGGGGTCTTACCATATGTTGCGCCAGAAGTTTTACGTGGCGATAATTATAATATTGCTTCTGATATATATTCATTTGGTATAGTTATGAATACTCTTGCAACTGGAAAAAGACCCTGGTATAATAGAGTACATGATATTAATTTGGCAAAAGATATTTGTGATGGTAAAAGACTTGAAATTCCTGATGATACGCCTAATTTTTATTCAGAATTGATGCAACAATGTTGGGATAATGATCCGGAAAACCGTCCAACTGCATCCTACTTAAATGAAAAATTAGGAGAATGGATTATTTTAATATGCGATGACCCAAATCCTTCAAAGATTTCGGACGAGAACTCCGTTGCTGAAGAAAAAAGATGGAGGAAAATTTCTCAATTGACTAAAAAAATTTCTCATCCAGAAATACATCCAGAAGCTTATTTTACAAGCATGCCCTTACATTTCCCGAACGATACGAAATTTTTTTACAGTTAATTTAATTTTTTTTTATTCAGCTTATCTTCATTAGGCCGCTCCAATATAATTGTTGGTTTAATGATGAAAAGTTTGAGTGGGGAGGGGAATTACAATAAACAAAGTAAGTGAAATGGTTATAATAAATTTTTGGAAATTTGGTAATTTAAGTTTGGGGGTATTTGAACATGCATAAATTATTATATGTTTTATTAAAATTTAGATTTTTCACAAAATTGAGTGGGGTGGGTACATTAAACAAACAATTAATTTGGAACGGCCTTATTATTAAATTATAATATTATCCGAAAATACATAATTATGGGTCGGAATTACGATAATGTCAATAAAATTCCAGCCGGTACTAACTAAAAATTTAACTTTTGCTTTTTATGTACTTTATTATTATATATGATGCCGAATATAAACACAGTATATGAATTTTAAGTTTCCAATAATAAAATTATAAATTATCTGATAAATAATAAATAAGCCTCCAAATTAGGTAAAATTGATAAGTTATTAAGTAATCTCATTTTGGTCATTTGATCATTTATTTAATCATAAATGATAATTTGAGTTAGGTAATCTTTTAAGTTACACAAAATGATAAATTTGCATAAATGAATTATTTATTGAGTGGTTATTCGGCAAATGACGAAGTGATAAATGATTTAAATGACAAAATGACAAATGGCGAGTCATTTCACTTTTTAAATGACAAGCCATTTGAGATTGATGATGTTGACCAGCACTATGATTCCGGCCTGCATTATACAAATTTTTCTTTGGTTTTCTTTGATTAAAATCATGTGATGAGATGTCAACCAATCAAAATCGGTTATTTCCGAATATTAGTGTTGTGCCCAAAATCTCAATATGCCCCAAAATTGACGATAATCATCGATGATTACTATGTGAAAAGTAATGGTAGAAAATTCTTAAGACATTATAAAGGTGGGCCGATAATTTAGGCCGATCGTTGATTTGGGGCATCATCATTTTATCATGTAAATACCGATATACATTAGTTTTTATAAAAAATTTATAGCTTAGCTTATTTTTTATTTATTTAAAAGTTTTATCAACTTGGTAATTATATCATACAAGAATTTAAGAATTTTATTTTAGAACGAATATAATTTTAAAAATTACTTGCTCAGAAAAAGTGAATTAATAAAAACTAAGAATTGTAAATAAATACATAACATGTAGTACTAGCAGAGAGACAAACAAAATTTTAATAATAGAAGTTGAACCTCTATTCTTGAAAAAATTTTAAAAAGTTTCAGGTTGATTACAATTATTAAAAAACTAAATTTTTGTATTGTACAGTATAAAAAATTTCGATTGTTCAATAAAAGACATTAATGTATTTAAAATCTAGTTTAACACTAGAATTAATCTATTTCTAAATTACAACTAAGCCATTATGAATTATGACCCTTTAACGAATTGTAAGCATTAAAAAAGATTCGATATTTTTAATTCGATATTTCCTAAAACGTATTAAAACTGGGGTACAGATAATCTCCTTGTTAAAAAAAAAGTGTCTACAAAAAAAGAATTATTTTGCCTGAATACGATCCGAAAAGGATAAATAATAATTAATAATAATTTAACAAAAAAAGAAGGAGGCATGTTACAATTGTTACACAATAGGCTTTTTTATTTCCATTGGACGTATTACAACTTCTTTTTTCGTGTATCCGTTTGAAATTTCAGTAAAATTAAATATTCTTTGCGGAATTGATGTTTTAGTCATGAAATTTATTTCGATTTTATATTCGCTATACACAAATTACATTTTGGATACTATCCGTTATCCGGATATCCGTTGGATATTAAATTCTAACTTTGTCATTATAGATGATCATTGACTAAATGACTACCTGCTAAGCCATTTAAATCTGCGGGAGTGCGGGTCACTATATCTATAAATCGGGCAATTAGGAAACATGTTATGTACAGTGACCAATGTACGGTGATCTTTTGCTACGTATGTATGGTTGCACTGAGTGTACTGTACGTACATACGTACGTACGTACGTACGTATGTATGAAAGAATAAGAGACCAAACGCAAATACAAATGATAAGACGCACCGGCAAAAATTTAGCAATCACGTGGCATGCCTCTAAATCATCACAGCCATCACGTCCTACCAGGTTTGCGCTATTTTATATATTTATCTGAGGGACTTTGTTTTTATTTTTGAGTAGGTAAAATCTTATTTGTCACCAACTGTTTACTTTCACGTGTTCGTGCATAATGCCGTAACGCTGGCCCTGTGCTACAATTTTTGCCAGTGCGGCTGGGTGGTTTTTCGTAACCATATGCTGTTATACATACGTATGTTTGTCATGTCGTACAGTCACAAAATCAACGTATAGTACAGATCATACACTGTTTCATTAGAACATATTAAACTAAATTTATTTCTCAGTCTTAAACTCTGTAATGAATTCTCAAAAATTAATATTTAAAGAATGAAAAATGCGATAAAAACTTTTATTAATATTGTGAGGGAGGAAAAATTAGTATTTGGCATAACTTTTTTTTTTTGCGTGATAAAGATCAATTATTAAATTATTAAATTCTACTTATTTACTTAACATTATGAATATTTTTTCGGGTTTTCGTCTGGTAGTCGTGTGTTAATGCACACATGAATATCATATTAATAATTTATTTAAGAAATAATAAATAAATATGCATGATTATTATATATTTACAGATAATAAGTAATCGGTAAATAAATTGGCTGTGAAAGCTTATTTCCCTCCTTTTTATTACGCAGCTTATAAAAATACATATGTTTTCAATAAGTATGTTGAATGAAAGGTTGATTTAATAAATTTTTATTCAACATTCTTAGAATAAGGTTTTACATTTGTTCGCAAACTGAAAGCTTGTTATAACACTTTATAAACCATTTTAATATATCTGACGGTGGTTATTCTTCTGTATACATATTTTATTACAGAAAATAATAAATCATATTCATCTTCTTAATGGGAATCAAAGTATAGCTATATCATAGATAAAAATGTTAATATCTTAAATAAACAGAGGAAGATACATGCAATAATAATATTAGATTTTTGAAAAAGAAAAATTTTTATAATAAAAAATGGAAATATCCTAAAAATGAATCGATATTGTGTAATTTGATGGAATAAGATGCATACAGTACATTTATTTTTATTTATTTGTCCATAGTTTGATAAAATTAATGAAAAGAAAATCCGGTGAAAAATTGAGCAATTAATAAAACATTTGCACTTTGCCGAGGAGGGTTAGCGATAAGTCTCGGTGTTTCCATTATTAATGCGTATTAGGTTAAGTCGAAAATGTCTTCTTATAATTCTTTGTCTTCTTAGTTGTTTCTGAGAAGGCATTTTAAGTTGTAATATATGTATTTTAAGGAGGAGATAATATACGTATATTTATGGAAGAGATAAAAAAAGTTGTAAAAAAGACGATGTATTTATATAAAATTTAAATATTCAGTGTTATCTGAACTACGTGTAGGTAAATAATAGTTATTGGGTGGGGTTGAATCATCACCGAACTGCGAAACCATCATACCCAATAACTGTGTTATTATGCAGACGTGTTCCATTTAAAAAAAATAATAAATAAACTCTATAAGCTTATTTATTAGCACAGAACAATAGGTATTTATCTATAAAGATTAATATTGTGATATTTAATCCAAAGCGACTAATGTGTCAAAAATATCAAAGACATTTATGCAATAATAATTTATCTAAAAATAACAGTATGATAATAGATGTCAATAAATATGATATTTTAAAATAAGATCCGAACATATACTATCATCAGTCATAGATATTAAAATATTTTCATTTACGCATATTTTTTGGCTGGGTTCGATTTTATATCTGATCTTTTGATCCATAAAATTAAGTCGAACTGAACTTTTCATATGTTCTCATTATCTCGCTATTTATAGCTTACAATTGGTGCAGATTTATGGATACATGAAATAAAGTTTCGCTCTTTTACATGAATAAAGGTGATAATATTATTTTAATAATGTTTATAGTAATAACCAAACAAATGACACTTATTATAATAATTTATATAAGATTAATAATCTTAAAATTTAATCAAGTGTAGCGATCATTATCAAAATAAACGATACTCATGTGATTATTTGCCGGAAGTTTCACTGGTGAAAATCCGAAAATCGCAATATTACTAAAATACTATAGAGTGTATAACTGATAAAGGATTAAAAGGAATCGAAAGATTATCCGGAATAAACCTAGGTTTTCTTTTGGATGGTGTAAGGAATGTGAAGCTAATTCTATGAAAGAAAATTTTCTTTATTGTACATCAGGAAATAAAGATATTGATGAATTAATTCAATTCACTCAACTAAACGCTACTCAAGCTTGTGATTACTTGGAATGGATAAATTTGAATGTTAAATATATTAATAAGGGTGGATTTACTAGCGGTTATTCAGTCTGATACAAAAGAATGGACACGAGTTGGTTGCTTCGAAGTCCTTATATTGGTAATTACAGAAGATAACTCTGGCCAAATTTATAGTGCCAGCCAGAATTTCTGTTAGGATTTATGATCGCGTGATTATTTCACGGTTCGCTAAGATCATAATTATTTGTTTTATAGATTCAGCGTCACAAAATATTCACAATCTGCTTCATTGGCTGGAACATTTGGTATTATCAGAAGAAACAAATTCGGTGAGTTTGTTGGAAGCTTTAATGGGTAAAATCCAGCATCTAATTATATGATCGTAATGACGTATTATGAAAACAGAGAATTATAGCATAAATTTCTTTATTCAACTGATAAAACTTAACCTTAATATTTATCTAATAGATACATGCGAGGATTACGTATATAATTGTCGTTTGATTATAACATATACCACAACAGTACAAATAACGCTTTTAGGAAATAAATAATATTAAATAATTAAAACTAAACAAAAAAAAACCTTAGGTAGAATGTTTCTTATCATAAAAATGAATTAAAAGCTTACAAAGATAAAACTTTAAAATAACCTATTATGTTCACTGTAATCTTTCAACAGTTGAAAGCTTTTTGAAGGATTACTCGAATAGAATCGAACGAAACAGTATAATTTACATACATATACATACAGTAAATAAAGAGGTATACTCTATTGAATAACGCGTAATTAAAATTAGAATTGGTTAATCATTAAATTTAACATTTTAAATGTTTTCGGTAATTTCGGATTAGTATAATGACTTAAATTATTTGCAAGGTAAAGGAATACTTGTATAATATGCTTCGGGATGTATTTCAGGATGAGAATTCTTTTGTGGCAATTGAGAAACCATTTTCCATCTTTTCTCCTCGGCTACAGAGTTCTCGTCTGAAATTTCTGAAGGGTTTGGATCATCACATATTAGAATGATCCATTCTCCAAGCTTTTCGTTTAAATAGGATGCTGTTGGCCGTTTTTTTGGATCATCATCCCAACATTGTTGCATTAAGTCCGAATAAAATTTTGGCATATCTACAGGAATTTCAAGTCTTTTACCGTCGCAAATATCTATTGCCAAACTAATGTCATGTGCTCTATTATACCAAGGCCTTCTTCCGGTTGCAAGTGTATTCATAACTATACCAAATGAATATATGTCGGAGGCAGTACTATGATTTTCTCCACGTAGAACTTCTGGCGCAACATATGGCAAGACTCCATATTTTTGATTCGAGTTTTTATTCTCATCATTGCATGATCCATGGAGTCCTACATCACTAATTCGAGCATCTGTAGAAACTTTTTCGTCTTCAATAAGTAAATTTCCTCCGTGAAGATTCCCATGGATTTTTCCTTCGGAATGAATCCTTTCAAGGCCTCCTGCTATTCCCCACAGCATATCGATCATGTCTCTCCAGGAGAGAATTCCATTGCAATGATCAAGGTATTGATACAGGTTGCCATTTTCGTAATACTTTATTACAATCATATAATTGGATGTTGGATCTTTTGTAATACCAAATGTTCCAGCTAATGAAACCGATTGTAAACATTTATGGTATGTTTTAATCTATTAAAAAATAAAAAAATAATTATGAAATACAAACTTAAAGAAATAATATAACTAATACAATGGTAGAACAATTATTTCCATTTCAGAAATTATGACTATTCCTAAGATCTTTCGAACATTTATTAATTATTAATTGATAATTTACCTGATTAATGTAAGAACTTGAAATGCCTTGTGAATTATCGAGACGTTTCAAGGCAACATTCATTGGCCCAGCTCGAGACCATTCTTGCGCCCCGTCATCCCAAATCCACCTGGGTCCTTCCATCCAAAGGGCTGAATAAACACTACTAAATCCACCTTTACCAATATATTTAACCATTTCAAATTTCTCAAAAGGGATCCATTCTAAATAATCACAAACTTGGGTTGCGTTCAATTGAGTATGTTGAATTAATTTGTCAATCTCTTCATTTTCTGATGTCCAATAAAGAAAGTTTCCTTTCATAGAATTAGCTTCACATTCCTTACACCATCCAAAAGAAATCCTAGGTTTATTACATTCCGGACAATTCTCTAATTCCTTTGGAGTAAAAGTATTTCTTTGTTGACAATATAAATTCTCTTCCATTATAACGTCTAGTTATTATTATTAATTTTTCTCCCTATAAAAAAATTCTGGCAAAAACTCTGATAAATGATCATATTTCTAATTTTTTTAAACTGACACGTGGTCATTTTATGAAAAAAATTTTATAGGGACTTCGTTTGTGATATATCATATAGTTTGGAAATGTTTTTTTAAAAGTTACTTTTCCCGCAACAATCGGAAAAAAATTCGTACAAATATGTATGCTCTATGCGCTATTGATTTGTTAAAGATGGGTTCTAAATGGTTGCAACTAAACCCCTAAAGACTTTTGAAATGTGCTTTAATCTCCGATTATGTTCCGAAAATATTAATTTTCAGAACTTTATGGTCAGATGACCAGCCAGTGTGACCAATCACTTGACCGCTCCGATTTAATTTGCCAAATTTAGAATGTAATTCATTAATTCTGCTAATGGCAATTAATATCAATTGACTAAATAAACATTAAGATTTTTAATACATTATTGTAACGGAAGTCCATCGTTAATATATTTATAAACTCATCCAGCGTAACCATCAAAAAATCAAAAAAGCTTGGCACGTGATTCATATGATTTGTGTGGCTGTGTGTGGCTATGGAACGTCACTAATTAAAAAAACAATTTCCAAGATGCCAGTTTGATAATTTTTTATTTCTACAAGAGTTTTTCATCTTTTCTCAAATCTTTGATGACAATTATTGCAAGTTTTGAATTGCTTAACATTTTAATTACATAACTTATAAATTCAAACGATGGTCTAAATGATTTGCAACCGTTACAATAGATATCTTTAGAATTCCAGTTTTATTTTAAAATAAAAAATACAACTTTGATTTTAAAAACAATTTTGTAAATATAGAATATTCATTTGAATAATAAACGTAAACGCGAAAAAAAATTACGCGAAATAGACCGTAGGTGCCAAAAAGCTTAACCAGCGCTTGCCGCAACTGTGTTATATATATATATGCTCAAAAATCACATGCTCGAGCTGTTTATACTATGTGGTCTGTAGAAAAATCACGTGTCATTAATTGATACAAAAAATTGAGTTACAAATGTAAAAGGAAATAAGCAGGGGTAGTTTAATTCAAAAAGGAAATTATAGTGACGTAATCGAATAGAAGGAAATTGCATGGATTATTCTTCTGTAAATTGTCCTTCAGACAATCGACCCATGTTAATATTACTAATGGGTAAATTACATCCAGTCTTTTAGAAACACCATAGTGTTCAGGTTTTTTTCATTTTCCGGCAAAACCAGACAAACTATTTTTGAATTTAACATTTCTCAACTTTAATAACCAGTTTATCAATGGACATATTGATAAAGACATTCCATTTTATTTGGATTATTCCTAGGAATCGGTGTTCGAGATGCGGGTATCTCTGGTACCGCATCTAGTGATTTCAGGATAGAAGAATCAGAGGCTAATTATTGTGTGATTGTTTGATTCAGTTTCTTGATATCTATAATCGTTTAGGGTAAGAAAATTACTCTAAGTAATCTATTTCTAAACCACAAGTTTAATAACTTCGTCGCGTTGTTTGACCATCATGAAAAAAAATAATTTATGTTTCAGGTATGTAAAAATTCAAACAATTGAAGCGTACATTAATTAAAATGGTACTAATGCCAAGCGATAAAGATTGGCTGATGGTTTAGCGATCCGATTTTCACAATTCAAAAATAAGCAAAAACAAACTTAAACTTTGTGGTCAATGATCAGTCAACATGTTCGAATTGGTTGCAATCAAAAACCCGAATGATCAGAAACGAACAGACCTACTGGTACCATGAACATATATACATATATTTGTTAGAGAATTTTATAGACAATATAATTTCAAAAGTACTGTAAAAGTCCGAATCTCGATTTGTTTATGATATGCCGATACTAATAAACATAATTTATATATATTTATATATATATTAGTTTAAGTGTTTAACTATCCTCTGACTCGCTGTACCCCATAATCAAACATGAAGGGGTGCATTTTTGCACAAAAAAATTATTAGCAATTGTCAAATAATTTCTGTGTAGCTTATTAATGAAAATATATTTTACAGCATGTTTCGGAAGATCCTACCCATATCCGCCGATCTGCAGAATACATTTCTGCAGATTGTGCAGATTGGCGGAAATATAAAACATGGTATTACATAGACTAGGGGTAGTCTTACCACACCACCCTCGGTTACACAAATATTTGTTGGGTGTGATGTCCGAGGTGCGTGATAAATAGAGATCAGGCTAGAAAAAAAAAATTAAGTCCCTCAGATAAATATAAAAAATGCGAACGCGGATATCACGTGACGATGTGACGCTAAATGTCACTGTGTAACCGAGGGTGGTGTGGTAAGAATTTCCCATAGACTAGTTACACCTAAAAAAGCTTATCTTATTCCACTCTTTTGAACATAATCACATGTGATAATTTTTCATTTGAACAATATAACAATATTCCAGAAATAAATTATGGTCAAATTACATCTTGTTCACGAGTAAATATTAATTGATTATTAATATAAATATAATATTATCATGTTTATGAAATTTTAATTTGTACATTTATAAATCTGCACTAAACTATAATTAGTGAGATAATAAGACGAGGCGCAATTATACTCATGATACTTTATTTTGATATAAAGCTTGATACCCATCAATTCTATATTTTTCGAACACGCAAAGAAAAATAAATTCTATTTATGACGTGTAAAATAAGAACTTATTGATAATTTTTTTCTCTGTTTTTTTTAAAAACGTAGATATACAAAGAAAATGTCTTATAAAGTTGCACATAAAAAAGTAACTGACAAAGAAAAGAAGGGAAGGAAAACTCTAAATTCACCCAACTAAATATTATTAAAAGTGAAAATAATCACTAATTTTCATCACTCAAGAAATTTCTTTTACTACTACAATTTGTGGATCGTAGTTGATTAGCTTGAATGAAGAGCATTCATTGATTGATAGTGACACAACGTGAACCTTATATAAACCTTACAGCAGAAAGAATTGCTTGGCTTTTCGCCACAAAATAACAAATTGAATATCGACTCATACAATGATCGTATACAAAGAATAGAATTGATATCTTTCTCAGAGTAACTTGTTCTAATGATATTATCATGTCGGTATCTGTCCGGGGAAACAAGCAAAATGACACACATCAAATTGAACAACATTTACTCTGATGAAATATTACAATTCGATGCTGTTTTTTTAGAGGAAACATGATGATGGACTCACCTCCTTATTTTCAGAGATGAACATTTGTTTACTGTATAACATGACAGGCTCGATGGGCATTTATGATCAATAAAGTGAATCAGGATAAAGACTATGACTAGTAATTTAAAATGAATTTTCCACCACTGAATACGAAAGATATCGAAGAGAATGAAATTAAGGAATCTTGATATTGTATAGTTTGCGATGGACGGTTTTAGCAATGTATGTAAAAATTGTTGATATGTATCGATCTTATTAGTATAATATACTCACGGAATATGAAATTGTTTAACAGTTAATGTAAAGATATAACGAAATATTCGATGAAGTTTTTACAGTGCTAATAAAGTTTGAGATTACTCATACGAAGTTTGGAATTTTTTAATTATTTACCATTAATCATGTACATATATTTACTTTCATAGTTAAATTTACAACACTTCTTATTGGTTTCAGTTAAAAGAGATTCTATTAATGATATCAACGCAATCTCGACGTTAAAGAAGGAAAATGGAAACGCAAATTGTAAGAAAGTACTACTATAAATGGAAATTACGATTTATAATCAATGAGACTATTGATCTCGGGATTATCAGTGATTATCTGTTGTCGGACCGCGGTAAATTTTAATCTGGACAAATGATTATTCAAAAAAAACAATACTTCGGCATTATATTATTAAGTCGGCGTTTGTATTAATTACACTTACATTTTTTTAATACGACAAAATGAGAAATGAATTTTATCTTTCGTGAGATAAAACAGAATAGGATTTAATAAAAGTTGATAGGAGTAACGCAGTGTGACAATTTATCTTTATGCCATCTCAACATTTTTAAATGCAGTCTGATCAAATAAATGTATGGCTGTGAAAAAAGACAATGAATACACTTCATTTCCTCTTTTTAGTTAAATTGGTCTCTCTTTCAAATATATTTATATATTAATTTAATTTGTGCAATACTAGAAGTACAATTCTGAATACCTTGCATTATATCAAAATTCACCTATATATTACATTTATTACATTGCCATTGATTGAATTAACTTAAATTATTCTTTTTTATTACTAAAAAAAAATTTTTTTAATGATAAAAGCGATATTATTCAAATTATTTTTTCGAAATAAATATTCAAAATTTGTGTAACATTAAAAAAAGATTATCTCGTCACAAGATTTTGTTCCCTTTGAAGTTTTTTTGTTTTACTTTCAAAAATTCATTTATCCGGCCTTTTTTTGGATATAACACGGAGCCTTAAAAGATTTGCAAATATATCGTTCTTGACCTGTACGATGGGTCTGATTTGACCCGCATAATATATTTTAGAATAAGGGGGACAGGCACCAGGAGAATCAAATCCGATACTTCAAAGATTTAAGCTTAGTAATACAATTATCTAAATAAAGATCTGGTCTTTTTTTTTTCGCTATGACTATACAATTCATATGATTCACATAAATTGGGGCAATTATCTAATTCTAGATATCAATCAGACATTGTGCTTATGAACCAATGAGATTACTACCTCAAAAATTCCCATGTTTAGAATAAGCATGCTTTGAAAATCCGGAATTAAATAGGAAACGGAAAAAATAATCCGACCGTTAAAAAAAAAAAAAGGAATTGTGAATCCGAAGAAATAATAAAAACGATTCATAATCAGAAAAATGACTAAGACAAAGAAAAAAGAAATCGATTATACCAAAGGTACATACCTATTTTCTTTGTATAGCTTTTTTATCTTTCGAAAAATTTTTTAGTTTATTTCTTTTTTATTATAGTAGTTATTTAATTATTTCCTTTTATTAGATTATAGTATTATTATTAAACATGTATTAAACCTTTTTACGCCGATTTTAACTTTCATTAGACTTTCATTTGGTTTTCATTAAACATCATTAGACTTTCATTTGACTTTCATTAGGTTCATTTTTTCTTGAATTACACTCTGTAATCTCGCTTTTTTTTGGTTTATCTCTGGTGTGATAAATTAAAATCTACATATTTCGAAGGATATTTAAACACTCAGAATTCGATATACTGACCATACAATATAACAAACTCCATACTAGACATTCTAAATTTGAAATAACGAAATTCTTTTTTTGTAAAACGTTATGATATTATGAATGTTGATTGTGTGATACTGTACACGTGATTAATAACCAATAACTTTCAATATTTAGATAAATGGAAGAAAATCTATCATATCAACAAGAAAATAAATTTACCCCGAAAGAATTGAAAGATTGTCCGGAATGTTGTAAACCACGAATTTCTTTTGGATGGTGTCTGGGATGCGAAACTAATACCATGAAAGAAAACTTTCTATATTGGACATCAGGCAATAAAGATATTGACGAATTAATTCGCTACACTCAATTAAATGCTACTCAAGCTTGTGATTACTTGGAGTGGATACCTTTTGAGAATTTTGAACTTGTTAAATATATTGGTAAGGGTAAATTTAGTAGTGTTTATTCGGCTCTTTGGATGGAAGGACCTAGATGGATTTGGGATGATGGCGCACAAGAATGGACTCGAGCTGGGCCAATGAATGTTGCTTTGAAACGACTCGATAATTCACAAAACATTTCAAGTTCTTACGTTAATCAGGTAACCACTTATATTATGAATTTAAATTTTCAAATAAATTAATCGTTGAATACTGAGTTTTTTAAGATAATGCATTTTTCATTTCTGAAAATGAGATAATAAATAAATTTGTTCGACAAACAATCAATCACAAATATAAAGTATAATATCACGAATTGACTAGTTGTAATAATAAAATTTCGATCAGTGTAAAAGTTATCTTCAAACCCTACAAATAATTGAACTATAAGAAGTGACTTTATATTATTTACAGTTAATAAACTATGTTATAACTTGATAAAAACGATGAAATGATATATACTCTAACTTTCTAACACTATTGCTGCATTATAACATATATGCGAATAATTATTATTATATTAATTATTTAAGATCGTATATAATAATGTCGTATTTACCTTTCTTTCTTTTTTTAATAGATTAAAGCATATCATAAGTGTTTACAATCTGCTTCATTAGCTGGAACGTTCGGCATTACAAAAGATCCAACATCCAGTTATATGATTGTAATGAAGTATTATGAAAATGGAAACCTTTATCAATATCTTGATCATTGTAGCGGAATTCTTTCTTGGAGAGATATGATCGATATACTATGGGGGATCGCTGGAGGTCTTGAAAGAATCCATTCCGAGGGAAAAATCCATGGAAATCTTCACGGAGGAAATTTACTTGTCGAAGACGAAAAGGTATCTACGGATGCTCGTATTGCTGATGTGGGTCTTCATGGACCATGCGATTATGATACAAACAATGGTTTAATTCAAAGATATGGGGTCTTACCATATGTTGCACCGGAAGTTTTACGTGGCGAAAATTATAGTACTGCCTCTGACATATATTCATTTGGTATTGTTATGAATACACTTGCAACTGGAAAAAGACCTTGGTATAATAGAGCGCATGATATCAATTTAGCAAAAGATATTTGTGATGGTAAAAGACTTGAAATTCCTGATGATACGCCTAATTTTTATGCAGAATTGATGCAACAATGCTGGGATAATGATCCAGAAAACCGTCCAACTGCATCCTATTTAAATGAAAAATTAGGAGAATGGATTATTTTAATATGTGACGATCCAAATCCCTCAGGGATTTCAGACGAAAATTCTGTTGCCGAAGAAAAGCGATGGAGAAAAATTTCTCAATTGTCAAAAAAAAATTTTCATCCAGAAATACATCACGAAGCATATTTTACAAGTATGCCTTTACACTTCCAAATAACACGAGATGTCATTCTTAATTAATTATTACATATTAAATTTAATAAAAAAAAATTTTTGTCTTCATATTTATATATTTGACTATATATAACTGGAGTAAGATCGAAAAACACGTGTAATTTCCTTTTAGACAGTGACGGCCGAAACTTTATTACCGTGCCCGGTCCTTAACAAATTTGATCCCAGAAAAGTGTGATCACTCAATTTGCAAGGGATCGATCGAACCACCGGTAGTACAAGAAAATATGTCGTGAAACGATACATTTGCTACTATGTCAATGTTAGACATTGTTTTGATATATTTTACGATAAACGAAATTTGTTTTATTTATGTAATATATCCGGTGCTCCAATTAGGAACCTGTGCTAAATTTTCGAAATAGGGAGGTTTCGACTTATTTGTAGTAAAAGGTTGTTCATTTCTGATCGTTCGGATTTTGATCGGATTTTGAGTTAACTTGTTCGGCACGATTCTTGCGAACTGTAAAATAATAGGTTTTTTATTTTTGGACCACAATTTAAAAATAAGAAAACCATTGGTTATTATTAAATTTTGTGATCAGGGATCAACTCAATTTTAATTTGATCACATGATGTTTTGTTAATTTAAAACCTATAACCTGACGATCAGAGAATATATAAATAGGTAACAAGAGATCGGTACTCATTTACTATTTGCTCTATGCTTCAAGCCAGTAGGTTCATTCTACTCTGTATTGTTACCTTTTTATGTATTGCTTGGGGTCCTCCTAATAATTTCGATCGACTAAGTGATCGATTTCACAAAATTACCTGATATATTTCAATTAAATGACAAAAGGAATTACTAATTAGTCATGAAATTAGGAATGACAATTTTTATTTTCTATCAGAATCGGAAACTGGTTCGGAGTTTGGAAAGCTGTCTAATAAAAAAAATTATATATTCGTTAAACAGTAGTCAATGGGGAAATTTTCTTTAAAAAATTATATAATTTACTATGTTTAACTATTTTTAATCATAAATCATACGAATAATTACATGTAACATAATATGACACCAAATAAAATTTGCAGTAGTATAATTCACTTGACACGTATGCATGCAATACTGGTCATAACTAATTAGAAATGATTTTTGAGTAACACAGATAAATCATACGACTAAATTTTGCATGTTTCGGAGCTTAAGATGTTAGAAAAAGTATTTTCGTGATTAAGTGATAAGTATCTTTTATTTGTGTTGTGTAAATGAAATTTGACCAGTGTTACACATAAATCTCGTGAAGGAAGGCGTAAATAAATATGTAACATTGACGTAACTTGATTTATACTAACTGTAATTTTAATGTGAATATACAGTACATTTATATGATTCAATATTTTTATTGAGAACATAATTATTACAAAACTGCATAGAAAAAGTGTAAAGAAGAGGAAGGAAATAAACTTTCATCTGACTGAGATTGTCAATGGAAATAATAATTAGCCCTAGCCACAGATCCTCAAGACGCTTTCTGCGTTAAAATATAGGAACGGAAATTACCCGTTGGCGTTCTATGATATAAATAAGTAACATGATATAAATAAGTAACAATAGAATTAAATAAATAACCTACGAGCTATATTATTAAATAATTTTTCAAATAAAGAATTTAGTTAGTTTAAATTATATATAAATATTATATAAATAAGTAATAATAGTGAGTCAATTTTCCACTAGCTTGTATCCAAAAAGTGAAACATGTAATATAAGGATTACCCGAATAAAATGCTATATCTAATTTATTTACCAAACACTTACCTCTACTCGAATGAAAATCTTCTACCACCAATTTGCGAATGTTAAATCAAATGGAATCCCGGTTGAAGAGGACTCGTAGTCTAACCTAGTAGCTTATTAAGCGACTGACAATATGGTTAACCATGTCCAAATAAATGATCGATCTTAAAACTTTAACGACGGGATGTTCTTTAAACCTTCACTGTATAAAGTCCAAAATAGCTCAAGGTGAATATTTATTTTGACCTTCCTAAAGAGACATCCACCATACGTTTTATACCTGTAACAATAGAACTAATTATCTCTTGTTTTTATATTTGTCTGGAAACAAGCGAACGTCTTTTACAAACCAAAAAGCATCAAAGATTATGCAAACTCTTTATAAAAAATAAGTCTCTATGTCTTAACTCACATATTAATGTTCTGTTTTATTAGTTTAATTTACACCATCATTTCACGTAAATGCATTTTTCGTGGAATCTTTTAATAGTTTCAATTTTGGGAAAAGACGAAAGTACTAAATTTTAAGTTTAGAAAAGTATTACATGGATTTATTACAAACTGAACGTAACGGATTGTTTATTTTACGTCAAGCAATTGATAGTAAAGAACTGAAGTCAGAATACTAAATATAGAAGAGATAGTAAGGAATTTAGTTAAATAAGGATGTAACGTCATATTATGGAAAATATTGAAAAAGTGCCGGTTTTGTAATAGATCTTGTTCCGTATACAGTATATTACATTTTCAATTTACGTGACTACTCATTTTTTATTGTAAGGAGGGAAATGTCGAATATTTTAATTTTCTTTTTAAGGTAGAATAAAGATAAACAGTCAAACCTCGACCGATAGAATTTCCGTGTCCCATTTCACAATTGATAAGAAAAAATCTCATTTTACCGATATTATATATGATTTCGCGATGTAACATGTACCGATATTTTATGTTACGCTAGTATTACTTGGTCAACACTAATAATTTGACTGAAGTTAAATTTTTGCGCCATCTTAATTTCGGTCAGAACTACATATTGGAATTACAATCTGACCCACATTATGGTCCCAATATTTTTCCCAAAACAACAGTATCGGTACACCGAAAGTTTGACTGTAGCAACATATTAAGATTCATTTCTTGTTTAACTATTCTTATTAAATGTAATAATTTTAGCCTTCATTGGACATTATTGATATTATTGGAATTTACTAAGAACTTCGAATTTCGTTAATATTGTAGAAAAATTCTGCATACTGTTTGTGCATTCCACTGATTATCATTTTTAGTTGATCTACCCAAATATCATTTTCTCTTTCCTATATCTGTAAATTTCCAATAATCTGTGTACCGTATGTATATTTATTTATTATTCAATTATACAATCAAAAGTGAAAGGCTTTTAATGATGCAAACGAAATCGTATACGATTTCCTTAGGAAAATAATTTTTTATCACAATTTCCCAAAGTTCATAAATCTATGTAGCGAAGGAAAAGAACGCTCAATTTATGACAACATCGAATTTGAGATAGAACATTCTGATGTTACATTCTGATGTTCTAAATAGAAATCGACATCGAATCTTCGAAGCATCGAAAATAGAAGAATAGAAGAGGTGAATTAAACATCTGTGTAATTGGTTGCGAAAACTTTTAATAGGAAATGTCGGAACAATGATTATAGTAGCTAATCGGAGTGATAATGGACTTTTTTATTCGGATGAACGACATTTGTAAAATAGAAAGAAAAAAGAAATTATTTACAGTGTATCGAGAAAATATTATTACATACAACTAAAGTTGCGCAGTGATATCAATCTGACCACCCTGCACTATAATGCATGTAAATGTTTCACGTTTGGTATTACAAAGTTAGTTACTATGTAAAGTGTTATAAAGATTCCCGTTTCCATATAGGAATATTTTGGCTTGTCTGTATAATCTAACAGCTTTCGATCCGTATTTGGAATAGTCTACTATTTTTTTTTTCGGATATTCGGAAAGAACGGCTTTACCATCCAAATAAAATATCCGAATTAGGATCATCCAGATGATTTTATTGGTTTATCCGGATAACGGAAATGAAACATCAACCTGTAGCCGCCCCAAATACTAAAAATAACCATCTGAATTTCTATGTAAATTTTCATTATCTTCGAGTATTACATGAATACTACATATCTAACATTTATGCATAATACATGATACTAAATGTAACAAAGTAACTTTGATTTTTGATTTTTATTTTTTATTTAGATAACCTTATCGAATATCATATTAGTTGTTTAATATTATTGTATAACATTGTTCAAGTTTCAACCCGATTATGTAAATTGAAAAAAAGCTTATCTTTCAAAAAAAAAATAATAATAATTAACCCAGCCATTTAAATATAACAAAAGGGTAAAAATCATTTTAAAGCTTTCACACACAAACCCTGTTTCGGAATAAGTTTTCGGTTAGTTTAGTTATGTGGCATACTTTAGTATCACATGTGCCAATATTTTACATGTTTTCATAATTCTAATTTGGTCACTAGTACAAAAGGGCAAACCATTGTAAAATAAATATTATTTATAAGAGTTTCACATGAACAATCACGATAAATAAAAAGTAAAATTGATTCGAACCTACTTTCATGCTTTCATTCTCTCCTGTGATTATGCTAATTAATACTATTTTTAGTAACTTTGTTACAGTAAAGTAAGGCGTAGTAATAAAGAAAGGGAGAAGATTAGTATCGCGCACTAGAATCACGTAATCATAATAAAAATATTTGTCAACTTGTGTCACACCTCCACATTTTTCATTTTTTTTATTAAGTAAAAACCTAATTGTCACCCTTACATGTGTAATTTCTTAATGTCGTAATTCCGGCTAAAATTACCCCGCTTTAGACGTCCTCCTTTAATAGGTAATCCATTGGTACTACTACCGTCAAATTTAGTTACAATGGCCCTGTAAAAAAAGTCATCTTTTTTTCTGTAGAAGGCTCATATTTCCGGAATTAATAACTTTATATCCCGGAATTTATCAAATTATTTACATTTTCCGTGAATGGATCCGTGAAAGGCTCATTTTCACAGAGTTTTTACAGAAATAACGGATAAAATTTTTTATAGGGTTGCGTATCCTGAGTCTAAGTATCACTTTGAATGTTCTAACTTTTATTGACACATTCATGCAAGGAAACAAAGCTTATAGAAACTATAATTCATCTGCATCAAGAAGAGCCATTTGACTTCAGTAATATTATTCATGACGCTTTTAAAGAATTTACCAACCAATGCAACG